GCCCGCTTACATGCGAGCGAGCGAACGAACGAGCGAGCGAGAAAACAAGCAGACGAGAGAACGACCGAGCGAGCAGTGCAGAGCGAAACGTACCAAAACCGGGGCTACTTTTCTCCAGGGCTTGTGCGCTCAGTGGGTGGGTCCGTCCGTTCCTTCTTTCCTTCGGTCGGGCCTTCTAGAACAACAGCTAGAACAACAGCTAGAACACCAGCGACGACGCTACATAATGGCGCCGCCGACAATGCCAGGGTATGCCTACTCACTTAGGTCATACAACCCCAAGCTGAGGACCGGTCGATATCATCATCCTAGGTAGATACCGTACTCTACATAGGGGAAACGCCATGAGGCTTTGAAACAAAAAAAAAGGGCGCGCCACGATGGGGCTGGTATGGGATGGGATGGGATTATGCCTCCACCAAACGCCCGTCGGTCCCACCGTCGGTCCAACCGTCGCGTCTCGGAGGAAGTGGAATTCGAGACATTACTAGTATGTAGGTAGTTGGGGGGCGCCAGCGTCCACCCTAGAAGCTCCGCACTGCAGGTGTTTCGAAAGTTTTGAAAGAACAATCTTCACGGGCTTCTAGGGCTTCTAGAGGGATTTTGAAATTGCCAATTGCGCCCCTGGACCATGTCCACCGACCTTTCCCTTCCTTCTAGAAGTTCCCACAGCGCGGTACTCGGGCTTCGGGCGTCGGGCGTCGGGCTTCGTTATGCGTTAGGCGGAGGTGCCGCTGTCAAAATGCCCATACAGTGTTATTTCGTTCACTCTACTCTAGAGTACAGTTACTATCGTCAGGACTCAGGACTCAGGACAGGACTCAGGACTCAGGACAGGACTCAGGACTCGGGACTCTGAGGGATCGTGGGTGCAATACCCACCACACCGTAGAGTAACATATCGTCGGCGGCGGCTTTTGAAACGAGTGCTTTGTTTTTTTGATTTGTTTTGGCTTTGCTTTCGTTCGAGCGGATGTTTCGGCACGCCGTTGGACGGCTGGTGAGGAGGTAGAGTACGGAACTGGAAGTTCTTGGAAGTTCCTGTAAATAACTGCGGGATGTAAACCGAGAGATGGTTGATGACCGATGAGTGACGGTGTGCCGTACTTGTTGCTTGCTTCCTCAATTGCTTACTTGCTTAGATACTTGATGGCCTGATTCTTGCTTTGTTTTTCTTCCTTTATTCTCTTTTCGTTCCTTCTATTTCTTCCGTCGAACGATGCTGTAAAGGTGAAGAATTTCCAATGTCCGCTGTCAGGAACTAAAGATCGCCAATAACCATGTGAACCGGCTGCAGCCGTACCATACCAGCCATACCAACCGTACCATGCGTACTCTTCTTCACACTTCATATTTCACACGCAGTGGGTACTCTACTCTACTATAGCTACTAGTGGCTATACCGGGGGGTAATCCTCAAATCCTCGAATCCGCCCATAGTGAATCACATACAGTCATTACAGTAGAGCCGTTTCACACAAGCAACCCCCCCGTATGTAAGTACTCTAACCAGCAATCGGGCGAACTTGTGCGCTACTACTCTATGGTACAGCCAGGTACCTCCCTAGTCAGCCAAAGTACCCAGCAAGCGACGTATCTTTGTAGAGAGTTGTAGATGATGGGGCTGCCTCGTATGGTAGAGTACCTACCTCATACCCAGACGAAAGACATTCGGCCATGTGGCGCGGGTAGGCAGGTAGGGCTCGAACGGAGCCGGAGCCGGCGCTGGATTTCGCGCGGCCGTTGCCGTTCAACGCCGTTGCGGTTGCGCCATGTGTGCTTCTGGCTCTGGCTGGCGCTGGCTCTGGCGCCGGAGGCTCGGTGATTCTCGAGAGGGACCGCACATGAACCTCTTCTTTTGCTTCTTCCCCTCTCCGCCACCAGCAGCCAGCAGCCAGCAACCAACAGGTCCACGGATGGTGCGGCCTTGCTAGAGTAGGTAGGATGTGTAGCTGGGCCGGGCAGGATTCGCATTCGCCCCTACAGCACTTTCGGCACCGATAGATAGCCTGTACAGAGATGACGAGTGCGACGAGTCGTTGTTAGTAGTTCAACAGGGTCCGCCCCATGTACTCCGGATGTTTTTCTTTCGTTCTTTCTTGTTTCCACATGTACATCCCGGAACCAGGCAGATAGGTACTCTAGATACGAGTGCAAGAGCAAACGGTGGGGCCAACCGTTGAGGCCTCGGATCGATCCAACAATCAATCAGTCAGTCAATCAATCAATCAACCGATGCGGATACCGTGTCCTTGCGTTGCCTGGTTCCAGCGACCCGGGAAAGCGGAAAGTGGAAAGCGGAACAAACGGCTGAGGTGAGGCGAGCGAGCGATATTGATAATTGATCGGACAGGGCTGGCTGGCTGGCTGGCTGGCTGGCCGGGCTGGACTGGATGGATGGTCAACCGGGTGGTGTGCGATACGATACGGCAGAGATGGACTCGCTGTTTTCGCACGCAAGTGCGGTGTCTAGGTACATTGTTTGTACGTAGGACCGGATTCCCGTTTTTTCCGGCGATGCTGTTTGGGTCCGGAGAATCTTGCACATGCCGGCCAACCAAGAACCCACTACACCCTACATCCTACATCCATACATACTCGCAAAAAAAATCAATTTTTTTCTCTTCACAATCACAATCGCCAATCACAATCACAATCACAATCGTAGAGTACGTAGGAGCAGTACAGTACCGTCGTAGGAAGCAGACGAGGAGGACGAGGAAGCATGCAGGACATTACCCAGTGTACTCTACTTCCACTATACCCGGGTTACTGGCTCTTCGGCTGGAGTACAGTACAGTACAGACTCGATGGCAGCAGCAGCAGCAGCAGCAGCAGCAGTGCCGACCGGCCGCCCGCTGTCAAGCGAATGTATGTATGTACAGCAGTATGTACTGCGCTCGTGAAAACCGGGTCAGGTCGTCGTCGTCATCTCGTCGCACTCTGTGCTGCAGCACACACGACGCACGTGAGATTGCTATCGCGCAGCTTCGGGTCAGAGATATCGCGACTTGTACGTCGGCAGACATGTGGAAAGCTGTACAGTTGTACTCTCCATACATACAGCCGCTGGAGGGAGCTCGGTGCGGCTAATGGGGAGGCGATGGGCAGAGGGAGGGTTCAACACCCGCGCGAGGAACCACTCTGCTCTACTCCACTCCAGTTCACTCTACTCCACTACTAGAGAGGTCCCTTCTCTCTCGTGAGAGGAATCACCCGCTGCTGTGCGGTTGTACAAGGCGGGTTGCTGACAAGCGAGAGAGCCAGCAGTTGCTACTCTAGAGTAGCTACGGCTCGGTCTTAAGCCCCGTTTCCACTCACAGCTTCGTTTGAAGCGTCAGTCAGTCAGTCGAAATTCTCCGAACGGCTGCTTGCTGACATCAGATATGTATCGCTGAGTCTGCATTGAACGAACGAACGGGGATGGGAGCGGACAATGGGCATTGGGCTCTTTTCTCTGGTCTAGGTATCATACTCTAGCTTCCGCTGGAGGGTCTACTCTAGGTCTGCCACCAGTCGAACCGGCGGGTGGGCGGGTGGGGCGGGCGGGAGGGCGGGCACTGGCAGCGACGGACGCCATGCTGCCTGCCATTGCTACTTACTTAACTACATGCGGGGGCCAGATTGAGCAGTGGCAGATTGGTGGGGTGTCCAAAGTGGGATGGATGTTGTTCGCAAAACACGCCGACTCCGGAGACATCTGCGACGAAAGCACCGCGCTCTCGGCGGCCTTCGGTGATCCGGACGGCTGTGTGCGTGCGAGAGAGAGAGTGTGTGTGCGAGGTTGTGTGTGTGGGCGGGTCTGCGGGTATGCGTCTGCGCTGTTTGTCCGTCCGTGGGGAACAAAATGGAATGGGATGTCTTCAACGCCTGGTGCAGACCGTGCCAGTCACCAGAGAAGAGAAAGAGCCCCGCAGCAGAGCCGGTGCATCATACAGCACGCATCACGCATCTGTAACGGACGCATGGCTGTGGGTGGATACATCTTCCCTCGTCGTCCATGCACCCATCCACCATCCGGCTGCATGGCCCTCGAGTCCAAGTCGCTGCTATACCTATCCCCTGCAAGGGACCCCGACCGGCTCACAGATTCACAGATTCACAGATCGGAAGCTAGGAGTGGGATGAGACAGCGACTCAGAAGAAGGTGAACAGGGACACCCTAATTCACCCCTTCGCCAAAAAGACGGTAGTCTAGGATGCTAGCGTACCGTTCGGAGTTCTTCAATCTGATGCGACCGACTAGTGCCAGCCAGCCAGGCAATCCACTCACCACCTCCACTACCTCCACCTCCACCTCCACTGCCTCCACCTCCACTACCATCTCCTCCTCTTCCGACTCCTTCTCCACCACCTCCACCACCATCACTATCACACACCCCCCCCCCCCCCCCCCACCCCACCCCAGCAACCATCCCAGACCCACCCTATAGTGCCCAGGTCCCATTGCTTGACAGCTAGACATGGATCCCACAGTCTTCTCCCGTGGACCTTTTTCTCTCAATCACAACAGAAAAAATAGTTCCAGTCCCGCTCTACGGCATCGCATTCAATTACTGTGAGCCGGTTGCAATGCGGTCCTTTCAAGGGTCTCGGATGCCTCGAGGCCTGTGGTGGTGGGATTTTCCTATTTACTACCCGTTCTCCCTTCACCATCAACCAGCTTCCATAGACCAACCACCATCACTCTCATTCGTCCTTTCACCGTCAGAGTATCCATTCGCCTGCAAAACCTCGCAATCGCCCTCCTACTACTCAATCAACTCCTCCGGTGGCTAACCGTCATACGTCCACATCTCGACGCTCTCTCTGGTCGAGGCATCATCTGCAAGACGGATCCAAAGTCGACTAGCTAGCTCTCAGTCTCAGCCCGAGAAGAGCCACCATCTCTACATCTCTACATATCACAGCTGCACCTCACGACCACAACATCTGCGACAACGCCACAGCTACAACCTCCATTGTCGAGCTCCCCCCCCCCCCCCCCCCCCCCCCCCCCCCCCCTCCCACACACACACACACACACACACTCCCCCCCCCTCCCACTCCCAGTCTTTCTCGGCCGCATAAACATCCCTCAAAACAAAACATAAAAAAAAAAGCATGGCTTCACCAATTGCCAACTACCCTCCCACGGGCATTAGTCTTGTCATAGTAGGCGCCGGATTCGGTGGCCTCACCGCGGCAGTGGAGGCCCACTTGAAAGGCCATCAAGTGCTTGTCCTCGAAAAGGCGGCGAAATGGGAACAGCTGGGGGATATCATCTCAATCAGTAAGCCTTCCCCCCACACCCACGGATTCGATGACAACATACACATGCATAGCTCTTTCCACTGTCCGCGTTGCATATGGGGATAAGGCAATAGCTAACCACCCAACGCTCCGATTAGGCCCTAACGCAGGGAGGATTCTGTCCAGATATGATTGCACAATGGTCACAGACAAGCTCAACGCATTGTGCATGCACCATGATGTCTTCCGTATCCACACACATACGGGCGAGTGGGTTCTGGATCAGCCGAAATTCCCCTCGAGCCCAGAGCGGCCCATGTACAATGGTCACCGCGCAGACTTTCACCGCGTAATCTACGAATACGCTGTCTCACTGGGTATCCCAATCATCATGGGACAGCGGATAGCCTCATACCACGAGGACGACCGGGAGGGGAAAGCCTGGGTTGTCACGGAAGAAGGCAAGATTTTCAAGGGCGACGTTGTCGTCGGTGCCGATGGCGTCCGCAGTAAGGCACGAAAACTGGTTCTCGGCTATGACGATAAGCCGAGGACAAGCGGTTATGCCGTCTATCGTGCGTGGTTCAATGTCGAGGAAGCGGGCATCGGAAACGATCCCTTGACGAGGGAGTTCGTTGCGAATGGTGACACCCATACGGGCTGTGAGTACTCCCCTTCATTCTCCCCTCCCTTCCCCCACTTTTCCCTAGCTCGCCTGATCCTTCCATCGGAACTAGCGGATGTTTTGATGGGGGGGGGGGGGCTATGTATACGCTCGCCCGGGAGTCCTTACCTTTTTTTGCTTATGGAACATGGACTGACGCTCGTATCCACATGCAGGGCTGGGACCAGACGTTCACTTTCTTGTCGCCACATGCAAAGGAGGTAAAGAACTATCGTGGGTCTGCACCCACAAGGTGAGTCTTTCTACATTCCGATCCGTGAGATAATCTTTATCTCCGGTGAAAACCCACTCCACCCCCCGAAATATAGGCTAATCAACCCCCGTGTGTTCAGGATGATGCCGATATCGAGGAATCCTGGAGCCTCCCCGGTAAAATCGACGACGTCCTGAAAATACTCGAGAATTGGGATCCTAGGTGCAGGGCTATCGTAAGTTTTCCTCCTCTCGATCCCGTGCACCCCCGGATTTGCACGAATATGCATTCTTCTTCTTCTTCTTCCACCTCTTCCTTTTTGCCCTATTCACTATATATTTTCTACCTCGCCTCGGCTTGCACTCTGCGTACAGCACGGCTGTATTTTCCTTGGATATATTAATTGCTCTTCCCCCTCTCCACCACCATCGCCACCACCACCTTCATCTTTATCTCATCACTTGATCCACTAACACGTCTGAACGGTAATAGGTATCAAAGACTCCTTCCTGTGTCGACTGGAAGCTTGTGCACCGCGACCCGTTGCCCACATGGATCACTCCCGCCGGGCGCACCTGTCTACTCGGAGATGCAGCCCACCCCTTCCTTCCCACCAGCATTCAGGGGTGTAGTCAAGCCATCGAAGATGGCTGCGCACTGGCAACCTGTCTCGCCCTCTCGCACGCGGACCCCGCCGTCTCCGCGCACCAGAAAGTCCCCACAGCACTGCGAACCTACCAACGCCTGCGCTACGAGCGGGTGAAGGAGGCCCAGAAGGGCGGTGAAAAGGTCCGCGACATGTGGCACAAGGCCGACTGGACCAAAGTGAGGGAGAATCCAGAGAGCATCAAGCTGCCGCGGGCGGACTGGCTGATGCTACACGACTGCGAGCGATTTGTGAGACGACTCTGGCGATATGCTAGCGTTGAGGGCACCGAGCTGAAGAGGGAGTGGCTTGCGGCTGGACCCGAGAGCGATGAGGCACTTTACACCGAGTTTCCACCGACACCGGTGCTTACTCCTAGTGAGGAGCTGGAGAAGAGGCTCGAGTAATTGATTCATTGTTTTCCCCCCCTTTGTTTGGTAGAGAGGTGTGGTTTTGTATGGTATATGAGTTTCGTCGGCGTTTTTTTTTTGTGTTTGGGGGGGGGGGGGGGGGTGGGGCCTGGGTGGGGCTTGGACTCATTGATGGGACAGACGGAAGAATTGGTTGCTGCAGAGCAGAGAGGTCCACCACTGGGATGGTTGGAAGCCACGGTTCACGGTATGTTACGGGAGAAGTGGACTGCTGGCTGGTTTCTGACACTTATGGGGGCTGTACGAATATGTCTTTTGTTTTTTACTCTTTCTTTTTCTTGTTTTTCCTTTTCTTATTTTTCCTTTTCTTTTTCTTTTTTCCTTTGCTTGGGGATAGACTTACCATAGAACGGGGGGCACGGGACGGGACTGGAATACTTTAGATACGGTACTGGGGCAACGGAATAGGCGCATCTTTATATCGATAGAATTGAATGCATTTTGATGTGTTACTTTAAACGGGGCTTTTCTCAATGGTGACGGTAACCGGCGGACATACTCTAGATACTACTGTATGGTACCGCGGGGTTTTGACCTCGGTAGTTACGCCGTAGGGCTACGTAACCATGGGTAATGAAAAATTACTTACCAATCTCACGGCCCAAGCGGCATGGCGTGCAAAACAAATCCGAAAACGATATTGCAGGTTTGAAGGGGAGACGCGGGGGAATAAAAGAGATGATGACGATGATGATAATGATGGTGATTATGGTGATGATGATGTGCAAGTAAAGTTTAGCTATCTACATAGGCCCGGTACGAAAAGCACCATGGACTGGGTAGTTTATTTTATGTATGGAGGCTCATCTCATGGAGGCTTATTAAGGCTTAACTAGGGAGGCTTACATACCTATGGAGGAACAGAAACAGAAACAGAAACGGGGGGACAGAAACGGCGGGAAAGAAGAAAGTACGGTACAGTATCTACAGTACCCGTGGGGAAACAAGGATTTCCGTCCACGCAAAAAAAGAAAAAGAAAAAGAAAAAGGAAAGAAAGAAAGAAAGAAAGAAAGAAAGAAAGACAGAAGAAAAAAAAAGCCAACAAGAAAATCAGACGGGACTGACGGAATTACGGGAGTTGCGGCACGGCGGGCGGATAGCTGCTTGCTTGCTGCTGCTTGCTGGCTATCTACACTACCGTACAGCAGCATCGAGTCGCGATGAGCCAGCCAGCCAGCCAGTCAGCCATCCGGTGCACGCTGCACTGTATGTACTGTACTGCACTGCACTGCGGAGCGGAGCGATGACAGTGGCCCACATATGGATGGCCATGCCCATGGATGGCCCGCCGGAGCGATTCGAAACTGCCCTGACTGACTTGACCGACTTGACGCGAAAGAGAGAAAAAACTTATTGCTTACATATCGAGGTACCTATCCGAAGATTGGATGAGCTGCCGGGTATGTATGTAGATAGATAGATACGTTTCGGCTCTGCAGGCCCAGGGCTGCTGCTCTCCACCTATACATACAGTCCGTGGGAGAGATAGATACGCTCGCTCGCACGCTCGCACGCTCACACCCAACCACGATGTACATACGAAGTGCGAAGTGCGAAGAGTGGACACTTGCCACTTGGCATGTATGGATGTGATGGCAACAGCACAGCAGGGACTCAGGGAGAGAAAGAGAAAAAATATCTTTGGGGAGCGATGCGGGCCTATCTATCTTTCCTATCGTATCGTATCTATCGTATACAATGCCGTCGACTCTGCCCCACTAACATACTGTACTCTACTCTATCCAGGGCGAGGAACTTGTGAGTCGGAAGGAAACAACACTACCGTACTACACTATTTGCGGATCGCTACTAACTAATAACTAGAGTACGGTATCGCCCCCGGATTTTCCTAGGGGCTGCGAAACGGGAATAAAAAGAGCAGATCACCACACTATCATACTCTATGAGTTACTAGTTATACGCAGAGCAGAGCATGGATGGGCGTCGGTCAGTCAGCCGAGACCGGCTCGACCAACTCGACCAACAACTCGACCAACTCGACTCCAAGCTAAACTCGGATGTATGGCACCGGAAATGGAGCGGACTCCCAACGAGATGCAAGCGGATGAGATTGGAGGTCTGTAGGTAGGATGGATGGATGGATGGAATAACCAAAGGGCGTCCATACTATAGAAAACATTGACATTGGGGCCGATAGCCAGTTGGAGTGAAAAGGCAGGGAGGAAGGGGAGGAAACAGGCTTCCTGCAGTCAGTCTCCAGCGTTATCCTCCTGCCACGGTCCGCCGTGGCTCCTCGCTCCTCACCGTCGGCGGCATCGTGTCAGCCAGCCAGCAATCGTTGATTGATCGATCCGCCGCCCGCCGCCGCCACCACCACTACCAATGCAGTGCAAGCATTCAACACAACAGCCCTGTACCGGGCTAACTCAATGTGCGGTTCTACGGGCAGTTCTACGATCGCCATCAAGTCTGACCACGAACGAACAAGGCGGCAAAGCAGGCAAGCAAGCAAGGATGGCCAAGGGGAAAGTGAAAGGGAAAGGGCAGAATCCGATGCCGTCGGGCTGGCAATGTATGCTCTTCGAGTAGTTAACTGGTTAGTTGAGGCCATTTGGCATCGAAGTGAGTGGCCAGTGGCCACTGCTGTTATAGGTGGCCCACTGGCCACCAGCCTGTCGACCTGGGCTGGTAGGCTGGCTGGCTTACTGGCTGGCTTACTGGCTGGCTGTCTTGGCACCCGCGCGATAGAACCGATTACTATTGATGTTGATGGTGCCGCATGCGTACCGGACTTTAGAAAACGCCGGCGGGTAGAGTAAGTACTAACGATGCTATATTATAGTTACCCACCTAGGTGCTCAATGACAACCGGTCCACAACAGTTGACCGGGCAACCAAATCTGCACGCACATATAATCACAGACCATCGAGCCGCGAGGCCGCCCGGTAATGGATTCACACATTGCATGGGATTTCTGTGACTTTGCACAACGAGTCCATCCATTCCGAGCCCACCCTTATGATAACTACAACACCCATTCACACCCATAACTACACACCCATTCCGAGCACACCCATTCACACTTCACACCCGCACACACCCATACACACGTACATATGCAGCAATAGCTGGAATCCGATATCGACTTTTCGGGAGACGACTAGGAAGGGGGAGGGGGGTTGGTAGCCACTTGGCGATCAAGTTGGACTTTCAATTTCCCCCCCGTCTTGCACACCTATCTCCCTCCTCCGCCCCCCCTCCCCCCTCCTTCCCCGCGACGCCGACCGACGGAACTGAACTCGCGTGCTGCCGGACATCCGGAGATATGCACGATAATCGGAGATCTCACACAACATTTCACGCAACAGCGGGCGGGCGGGGAGTGAATTCGGCAGCATGGGATGCGGGATGTGTGGGATGCGGGATGTGCGATGTGTTATGTGTGATGTGGGGGATATGCGATGTGTGTGATGTGGGATTTGTGATGTGGGATATGTGGTCGAGCACGGTTGTCAGTCAGTAAGTAGAGTACTTGTGTGCCATGAACGAACGCAGCAACGCTGAGAGTCGTGCCCGGTTTTGGAGGTAGCGCGGGTCGACTCCTCGGTTCCTTACTGGCGGCAGCGGCTACTATTGGCTGTGCCGCCCGCTGCATGCAGCACACGCACGAAGATCCCGAAAGTGCAGTCGCACACGCCGATCGCGGTCGGCAGAGCAACGAGCGAGCGAGCTTCCATAGCCCCCGTCCTCCCCTCCCCTTCCCTTCCATCCCCTCCCGTTTCCTCCACCAAGAGCAGACGAGAGACTTCTGGATGGAGGGAGGGAGGAACTTCGGATGCGGATGCGGGTTCGTGTACCTAGTTACCCACGCACGCCCCGGCGCATGCGGGAAACGATTGGTCCGGGCGGCTCGATACATGGGGGAGATAACCCCCATAAACGCCAATGCAGCCGTGCGTGCCATGGGACAATTCGGGAGTCGCCATCGCAGAATCCCCTTTCTCCGTTTTCTCTTCTTCCTCTTCTTTTCTTTTTTCTTCCACTCGAGGCGTGCGGTGATGAGGCAAACCAAGGTTTTTTGTTCTTCGAGGTCGCAAAATGCGAATGCGAATGCATATGCTGGCTGGCTGCACTCGTGTGCGTGGTGAGTACTCTGGTTTGAGTTCGCACGGCAGGCTGACGGGGCGGACAGACATAGCATTGGCCGGCCTGGCCATGGTCCCAGGTAGTCTGGCCGGATTCTCGTACGATTCCGCGTTGGTCTGGCCTTGACCAACCCCCTCCTCCCTTCGTCACTCCCTCTGTCTCCAGCCTGACCGAGATGGCTGCTTTTACGTATACGACATATCTACATACATATGTACGGTATCCCACGATCCTCGACCCCACACGTGCCCACGACATCATGGCCGCCCTCAATGGCCAGCGAGACCCCATCATCCTGCCAATGCGGGCTCGTCAATCGTCGACACCGGACCTTTTTTCCCACTGCCCAGTCCAAGTTCCCCCTTATTCTGCACGTGGACATAATCCGCCGCCATGCTCCCCCCCATATGAATCATTCGTATGTGCATACGTCGGTCATTGACCTCCATCGCCAAAAACAATCCCCCCCTTCCCATCCCGCCAGCGGGCCAAACTACCCCGCACGTTATGCTACATGCATAACCACCGCCGCCATAGGTAGTTACATGTATGTATGCATGTATGTACCCCATAGTGTGGCTTGATAACTAACAAGTAAGTATGACCCTGACCCTGGCTCCATGCAGATCTGCTCATCTACTCTAGTTACTCTAGCCAGTTACTCTAGTTACTCGACTCTACTCTACTCTAGGGATTTCTGCCTTAAAGAAATAATACTCTACATTGGGTGCCTGCCTGCCTGTCGTCCTCTGGTGAGCTGCGTGCTGCGTGCTGCGTGCTGCAGCAAGAAAAGAAAAAAACCCGCCGCTTGCATGCACAATGCACAAGCTTTCTTTTCAAGTTCAGAGAGAAGGGGAAGGGGAGGGGAGTAAAAGTCAAGTCAACATCGTGGCATTGCGCTAATGGCTGGCCATCGAAACGAGGTGTGCGTGTGTGCGTGAGAGCTGCGCTATGGTATGTATGATAGCTTGGCTGGCTGGTTGGTTGACTGGCTGGGTGGGCTGGTTGGCTGGTTGGCGGGAGGCGAGGGAGGGGCGGTGATTTGTGGCGAGCGCGGGGCTGGAAAATATTTATTTTTCTGCAAAAAGGCGACTGTGCTGTGATTGGGCAGGCAGAGAGGTCATGAGGCGAACATGTAGGCGGGCGGCGATATAACCTGCGGCCAGACCGGTTCCTTTCGCTAGATGGTTACTCTCCATGCGTTCGGATACATATACAGGTGGGTATAATACAATTACCCAATCGTGATTCATATTTATATTTTCCTGTGATGCAGAAAAAAACGGCGAGATCACCGTCCGCCCCCCAGCCCCAACCCCCATGGTGCTC